TGTAGTTACTGTTTCATTAATATTAATTCCAAACTGATATGCACCAGCTGATATACTGAAATTGCTTGCTCTTGCCAACATGTTATTTGCACATTCCACCAGTACAATATGGCTGTTATGGAGCTCATGCATCAGATGTCTACTGTGCCTCTCACCGAGTGGGTTGACAGTCTATGCAAATTTGAACTTCATATTGCAAACACTTCAGAAGAGACAAAAAGTGCTGCATGTTATTTTTCTTTGAATGCCTTTAATATTTGCACGATTAGAAAACATGGTCATCATATATGGTAATGAAGAACACAAATACTGAAGGACACTATACTGAAGGACACTATACTGAAGGAATCCAAAGGGTGGGTTCAGGGGTTCAAAGACCACAATGAAGTTAATGTTTTGACCCTTCTCTCTCCACCCCCCATCCCTTTGAAAATTCCTGGATCGGCCTATGGACACAACATGATTAGTTTCACATCCACTTGCCAGGTAGTATGGGATGATATGGCCCATTTAAATCTGTATGTTTGGCTTCAAGTATACGGATTCAACTGAGCTATAAGATCCCTTATTACTCGCCCGTGGAAGATACTGCAGTGTAATATTTTTACGGCGATATTACACTAGTGTAATGCCGCTAGACATATGACATCATAATGTTTTACAGTTATAACGTCACAATGCTAATACCTCTGTCACAATGGTATTAGACCTCGCTTAACTCGTGGAAAGCTGAAAGTCAATACACTTCGTTGGCAGTTTTTATCAGTTTATGTTTGAGAGTAATAAACAGAATACTAAACTCGTTTCGTTAAATACCATTTTTATTAAACTCGTAAAAGATTTTGCACCAAATCATTAACTCGTTTAATAAATATGGTATTACACGGAAGGTGGTTTAGTATCCTCTATATACTACTGGGAAAATAGCTATGTAAAAATATATTACCCTCTCGGATTTTTAGATGCTTTTTGTGTGTTTTCCAGAAACTTTTTCATCGGTTTCTTCAAGTCTCCGTGTCTTGCCATGATTGTTGTCGCAGAAAAACATCATGTAACGATATTCAATTCTTGTAGGCTTAAAAACTGTTTAAGAGACTCGATATTTCAAATCATTTCATCTAGGATCTATCTTTACGTCAACTCTGTTTCCACTTCATGGATAAAAAAATATATTCACAAAAAAATTAGATTAAAAGAACTTTTCATGATAATAATAATTTAAATCTCTCAGCAAGTTGGATTTCAATGTCCAAGGTCACAAACTATCAAGTTGTCCATACTGCCTGTTGGAACAGGGTAAGATGGATTCATACTACCCATGAAACTTTTGAGTACGTCATATGTCTAGACTCAAAAGTCTTCACATTTATCTATGACAACAAAACATCTTCCACATAAAAAAACGTGTCAGGTTGTGAGGGTCACACATTGACCATATCTTTTGGTCAATGTGTATAGAAACACCACCTAAATAAGGAGGCAGTTGTGCCAAAATGTCAAGTACATAGGACAAATGGATCCCATTCAGGTTGGTCTAAAGATTGTATCATATTATGCTGACTCACACTCTCCCTTCCCCATAGTTTACATAAAAACATTTCAACATTCCAATAGGTCAAACTTTTCCATAACTCCCCTCCCTATAATAACTTATCAATCCCTCAATAAGGAAGATAGTGGCGTGGTGGGCAAGCTGTCTAAGGCGCCAGGCTAGTAATCCAGCGAGCTTGGAGGTGCCGGGATCGAGCCCACCTGTGACCGGGTGTAAAAACCTTGGAGTCAACTCTTTCAGTGTTGTCACAACCCCTAGTGTACAGTACACAACACTGTGCACTTAAAAGAACCCACGAATCCGTTGGTAGATGACCAGAAGGTGACCACATGAATACGTGCAAACACCTAGTTGCGGGTACAGCAACGTGCAGTGAACTTGGACAAAGTACTGTGACTATGTGTCCCAGTCCACCCAGCTGTGAATGGGTACCTCGTAAGGATGGGAAAGCCACATTAACTCGGTACGCCTAGTAGGCAGCAAGAGTTATATGCTCCCCAGGGAGTTGAGATTGAAAATGCAATATGCCGTTGTGATGGACATCCAATGATCGAGGGAAAACAAAGCACCTTTGAGCAGTTGTACTGGATATCGGCGCTATACAAATGTTTGTATGAATGAATGAATGAATGAATGAAAAGAATATGAAATATATAATCTTTCCACGCCCTACACCTCAATCCACATAAAATGGCCAGTTCGTAATGAGTAAATTAGTGTATATATTTGATACAACAGACCTGTGTTAGTTTTCAAATGAGATATGAATCCAGGAGCATCTAGTGTTTTAGCATGGGACTTGTGGTCCCACTTCCAGAGAATCAGTCCAAAGTACCAGCTTGCAATAGATGGATGGCAGAACTGACGATGGACAAGGCTTCACATGTACCTTAATGAACAGCCACCATTAGTCAGTGTTAATAGGGTTGCCATATGGCTCATATTGACTGGTCTGTCATTAATGGTGACAAAATAACACACAGCTATTTTGAACATAGCAGTCAGTGAAGCAAAATAAATTTTCAATGAATGTGCATTGTGTGAAAAAGATATAATTAATGAAATCATGCCAGTTACTACAGTCGTGCACAGTGTTGAAGTACCTCTAGCATTCTGCATAACTTAGCATATTAATGGTCTCTAATAGTAGTTGGGAAGGCATAGGCATGAGCACTGATGCCATGAGAGTGAGTTGGCTTTTGAATCATGTAAGCAATGTAGCCAATGAACCACTTCCACCGTCTTTTGCTACATTTGAGTAAAGAAAACATACATTATATTATATTAACTCTGTGTTAGAATTTATTTATCTCCTTGAATTACCGGTAAATGTAGAGATGATAAATCACTGAAAGTAGGTAATGCACACTTGATGGTCCCAACAACATTTGCTGGCTGACATTACAGGGAATTTGCATAGTGTACAGACCCATGCCAGTTATATTCAGACACTTGACGTAATTTCCATAGACGTACATGTTAATTCAGGGTAGCATAAATAATTATCATTGATTTAATTTTCGTAAGATCCAAGTCAAATTTTGCACATTTGTGAGGAACCATTTTACCTACGATCACATAATTTCTCTTCAATTTTCCGTTGCTTATTTATCGCATGGCAAGAATTTATGAACATATGTACAATGCCATGAACTCCTTTAACATGGTGGCCTATGGGCTTGTGCATTGTGGAACCATACGTAAGTTGATAAATGTGATGTCATTAGTTAAATAGTGGTCGGAAAATTGAACTTAAATTACGTGCGCAGAGCAGAGATGATTTCACATTTGCCTGTCAAATTTTACAAAGATCCATCCTAAACTCACTTCATGAAAATTATTTATGCTACACTGAAATAACGTGTTAGTGTATGGAAATTACGTCAAGTGTCCAAATATAAATGGCACGAGTCTGTAGGTTACCTCGCAATAAAAATTCACATCATAGGGTTTTATTATGTGGCAATGAAATCAAAATCAAAATCAAAATTGTTTTAACCCTGTCAGTACACACTGAGAATTACATAGTGTTAACAAGCATGTCAGAACATAAGGATTAATGTCAACATGGAGATGCAGGGTTTTACAAATGTGCATCCAGTATGCACAAATATAGAGAATGGACACAGAAAAAAATTCACTGAGTCCACAGTCACGCACAATATTATTCACTGTACCTACAACACATATATTTCAGAGCAGTTATGTGCATTATTCATCCTTCAGTCCAATGATCACTGATTCACTCCAGACTCTAAACAAATTATCAAAACATACAGTTCTCTACACCATTACTTCACAGGACCCTCATATTGCCTGCAGGGACCCTTAAGACTAATACTAGTAATTAGGGGTTCCCAGGACCCCCATGTTTGTGAATCGAGATAAAACCCTGGATATAGTGTCCTTCCCATCATCCCAATGAAAAATGAGATATTTGGGGGTCCATTGATATAAATGCTGAAGAAGAACACCAAAGATCTGTCTTCCATCATAAAACATGTCAATTTATAACAATGAAAGCTATTTATGTCACATTAAATGCATATTCTGTGAGAACCATTTACATGTCACAAAAACATAACTATAAACAAATACCACAAAAAGTAAACATATGAACCAGTTTGTATCTGAAATACATTAATACATAGTTCATCAGTAATGCAAAATTGCAAGTTTGGTATAGGTTTTTCAAGTTGTTTCTGTATTACCTCTGAAAGAATTACTTTCTGCAATGCATAAATGGGACAGTGGTGAAAATTAAAATTACAACCATAAGTGGACATAAATTAAAAAAAAAAAATATTTGATAAATTCCAGGCCTGTTCAAGACATTTTTGTGTGACCTGTACAAAAAATAAATACTTAACATCCATCAAATTATTGTTTAAGTCATTAACCGTACCTCTCAACAAGCTGTAGGGCTGCACATAAACACTGATTCGGTATTCAGGTCAGATCACGCGGTGCATAGCACCACCTGTTTAGTCTACGTGTTTGATGGCATTTTATGATGGATCCGTACCTTCATTCACTATGCCTTAACTGTGCCATCCGTGACCAAACAATTAGCTGTTGTCCCACTTGGCCTACCTGACTTTCCGCGATTGGACCTTGTACCAAGCAGACGCTAGGACTAAGAAGAACTAGGTCTACATGTTCACATCATCTCACTTGTACAATTAAAAGCTATATTACATCTACGTCACCAGCTGATGACAAAACCAGTTTTGCCAGTTCAAACCGCAGACTTATGTCAGTGATTTATTTGAAAAGTTCACTATTGTTATAAACGGTGACTTACCTATCGCTATCAATCATCCTATGCAACATACTGTATTTAGCTGTTGTTCTCTGCGTAATGTTTTTCTTGTTGCGTTCTAACGTTAAAAATATATATCTTACTTTATTACATATATATTCAATAAAAATAAGCACAAGACATTACTTTTGAGGCTGAATCTTGGTTGCGTTCAGTGAATCCAAGCCTGGAGGTCGTAGATATCAAATCTCCGTATAGTCACATTGAACCAGCCATAAACAAACAGGAGTAAATGACAGTTACCTCCCCTACTTTGGTTGAGATTAAAATTCGAAATGGGGAAATAATGTTTTACGCATTATTTCCCTATTTGTTATGGAAAATGTAGCGCCATCATTAGAAATCAATTAAAATGATTGTGTTGTAGTTTGCATTTCATTTTAGAGGTTGTTAAGCGTGGCTTTAACATTTAAGCATTATTATGCCAAACTGCATGTTTGCGAGTACATGTGCGTTTCAGGACCGAGAATGCAGGCTCTTTTCAGAGCCGAAAACATCCAGTATTCAGTAGAGGCTAACTTTAGAGTCGAGAACACTCGTATAGCGACCAGAACTGGGATACGACCAGAAATGGGATAAACAGTCCACAATTTCGTAAAACCCGATTTGCTACGGTACCGCTCCCGGTTAACACTAAAACGTAAAGCCACTGATGTGCGGAATATGATTTGCTTCTTGATTTTGAGAAGAAATACAAACTAACATTTACTATTTCCAGATTCATTTGCGAATATGTAACCCACATTTATTTCTCCACTATAATTTGGAAAAAATCTTAAGTGTTCTTAATTATTTTATACTGGTCAACCGTATTATTCATTTGCATATATCGGGAGATTAATTGTGCTATATTAAAATGGAAACATAATCTCATCCTGTTTGAAAAGGATTATCTGAATCACTTTGTGGTCACAATAATATCACAGAATCGTATACATTATTTAAAATAGTTAAAACACTAATTTGTGTTTCTGAAATAATTCTGATTGTAATTAGGTATGAATATGTTTTTCCATATTCGGGTGTTTGTCACCCAATTTGCTGCACTGATGCGTGTGTCTATTTTCTAAATGACATGCGTCGTTCAACTGAATGCGGCTCAGGGTTGAGACTAAACAAATTACATGAAATAAAGTATTGAGAACAAAAGACTAGGATGGATGAACATCACACAGAATGGCACACAGAATGAAAGACAGGAGAGGTTGTACATCGGCTATATATATATATATATAGAGAGAGAGAGAGAGAGAGAGAGAGAGAGAGAGAGAGAGAGAGAGAGAGAGAGAGAGAGAGAGAGAGAGAGAGAGAGAGAGAGAGAGAGAGAGAGAGAGAGAGAGAGAGAGAGGGAGGGAGGGAGGGTGTTTACAGCATATTTCATAAAACACATTACAAACGTGGTGTTTATCCGATTGTTGTGCGGTAGAGAGGTACGCGGGGAGAGAGATGTATCTTGTATATTGGTTATTGAATAAAGCTGCATGGGAAGTCTGTCTTCCACATGCACTAGGCTGTTGTGTTTGGGCGTTTGAACCAAACATGGTGCTGGTGTGTTTCAGACCCCTGTTTTTCGCTGTTTTTGACATTGTTTCGTTTCACTCAAACTCAACGAATGTTGAATCAGTTGCTTTACTGCATGTTCTAACGTGTTTAAAGTGCCCATTAAGCACACAAAAAGTTGCATTCACCTTAGAATGTAAATAACCACACCACGTTTAAGTATAATATATATGACTATCAAATGTTAGGGTGTTCCCATAATTTTTGTTTGTATAGTATATTTTTTTAACCTGTTTTTGTACTCACGAGCAGTGATATCTCTGCACTTGTACATAGGACCCGGGAAGATCCTGGTTAGAATTGATCTTCAGTAACCCATGCTTGTCGCAAGAGGCGACTAACGGGATCGGGTGGTCAGGCTCGCTGATTTGATTGACACATGTCATCGGTTCCCAACTGCGTATAGATCGATGCTCATGCTGATTACTGGATTGTCTGATCCAGACTCGATTATTTACAGACCGCCGCCATTTGGCTGGAATATTGCTGAGTGCGGCGTAAAACAAAACTCACACTCACACTTTTCACTCATGAGTAGTGGTATCTCTGAACGTGTACATAGTAGACATACTTTAAAATTAGTTTCAACAAAATCACTAAATGCGCTATAGTATGGTGGCTGATTAGGGCCATTCGCTTTCTCGCCTTAAAATTCGGAGGCGAGAAAGCGAGAAAGCGATATCACGAGACTCGCCTCCGAATTTTAAGGCGAGAAAGCGATGGCCCTAATCAGCCACCATACTATACTGTGAATGGGTTTCCGTCCAGTCACAATCAGTCTGGTAAGGTTCATCATCAGCTGACCAGTAAAGATCCGGGTTAGAATTGATCTTCAGTAACCCATGTTTGTCGTAGGAGGCGACTAACGGGATCGGGTGGTCAGGCTCGCTGACTTGGTTGACACATGCCATCGTATTCCAGTTGCGTAGATCGATGCTCGTGCTGTTGATCACTGGATTGTCAGGACCAGACTCGATTATTTACAGATCGCCGCCATATAGCTGGAATATACTGCTGTGTGCGGCGTAAAACTAAACTCACTCATCACCAGCTAAGGGCCCTTGCCCCCTCTACACGCAGCCCCGACAGTCGGAGAATATGAAGACTCCCCGACAGTGCAGCCTTCTACATTACCCAGAGCGTCTGAAGGGTTGTGCACTCGGTGGAGAACCCAGGCCCTCTCCTGATCTGCGCCAAGAGATCAGGAGGTACCAAGCCAAGGGCACCGAGAAGACAGTGTACTTGGGATGCAAGCGAGACATTTCAAAGGCGAGGTCCGCACATTTGCCACGTTTTTCTCGAATGGTGTTAATCGCATTGCTGTCAAAAGGGACAGAATATTCAATGATATAAATAACTTTCTCCGCCTTATAAAAAATTACAGAATTTATTACTTACATAATGTATAAAAGCTATCTTCCTTCTAAGCCCCGAATCTGTTTCGCAGGATAATCGAGACTATTTATTGCCTGGCTTTGACGTTATATATTTAAATCAAGAATGGGCTTCACACATTGTACCCATTTGAGAAATCAAACCTAGCCTTCGGTGTGAAGGCTAACGCTTTAAATACAAGGACACTCAGTGCCCTCTTTACATTTCTTGGAAGCGGGTAATTCAGGAAGTACAAGTAACACACCGTAGGAGCAAAGAAACGGCAGGAAATATTTCATAGCAGGAAGTGAACGATTTATCACGCGAGAGGAGAGCAGGATTTTATTTTTAGGTGCAGGAAAATTGTCAATATCTGTATTTCTACAGGCCACACTGTCCCCAAAATTCAAAGGACACATGTGCGTAATTCCATCAAATATCTTTCCATTCCGGAATCATACAAGCCCATGAGCCTGTGAAACATTGCCTAGTTTCCGTAAAGATGCATGAATATATCAAAGTTTAAGGTATCATTGCTGTATAAACGAAAAACAAAATACACCAACATTTAGAGTAATTATCGAACCATCTTTGTGCCAAATTTGAATGCTTAGTATTGTGCCGTTTTCGAGCTTTCATCCTCGGAAGACCAACACCATGAAACTGTTAGTGAACGATTTAAGAACATCATAGTGAACGATTTCATGTCGAACTCGAATTTACACAGTGAACGCTTTACGGTGGTTATTCAATAAGTTTCTAGTGACAAACCTGAGCTGTACTGCCCAAAAGTCGTTTATTCACAGAGAAACCATAGATACATCCGTATTTCAGTCACGTAGAGCTATATCAATTTGATAATTGTTTTCATCATAATGTTTTTTTTTGTTTTACATGGTAATTATATTTCTTTCGTACAGATTCTCTCCGTCAACTTCAATATCTGAGTAAAAGAGGCAGTGGTTTGTATTCTTAACTATTGTTTCAACATGGTCATATCAGTCGCAAAACATTTGCAGATGGAGACACTACAAGAGAGTGGAATAACCTTGGACGGCTCATTAAACGAGACACATACTCACCCCCAACTGTGAGCACATATACACCTATCAAAAGCAGTGCCGTGAAAGTGCGTTTTCATTCATCAGTTCATTATCTACACTCGTAATTAAGAAACGCATAGGCGATATTGACAATTTTGGACTCATGTAGCTGTGGCAGAAACAAGACAAATATACTATTTCTTTCCAACACGTCACCTTTGTGCTTCAGAGCCGAAACGCGGCAATTTTAACTCCCCTCCTTGTTTTAGAAGCGTTTGAAGAAATATTCGCAAATCAAAATGCACGTGCAAGTAAGCGGAAAAGCATGGGGTATCATCACTATAAAAAGACAAAGGTTGTGTTTGATTTTGTCATACGTTTTTGCCTGGAAAAGAGGAAATCATCAAGCCACGACTGAATGCCGCCGCCATTGGCCGCTTTGAAGCTGGGGAGTCGCAGTTTGTAGTTGCCCGACATTTCAACGTTCATCAGCGCACCATATCTCGCCTTTGGGATCGTTTCCTGCAGACCAATTCCGCCTAAGAAGCGGCCGTCCAAGAGTTACTACTCCTGTAATCCTGTGATTAACATCATGAGCATCGATCTACGCAATTGGGAAACGATGACATGTGTCAACTAAGTCAGCGAGCCTGACCACCCCATCCCGTTAGTTGCCTCTTACTACAAGTTGTGTTATGCGTAGGCAGGAAAATGTGTGGGTTGTTTTAGCTTCATTGGGGCATGGCCTGCCTACCCTTAATGCGATGTGATCACTAATTTAAAAAATAAATAAAATTCTTTTATAAATTTTTGAACATGGATGTGTGAATACATTGAACATTGGGTATTATATATAATTTGATCACGACTATTTTCATTCTTTCATACCGGGACGAAACACCTTCATGTCTGATTCAGGGCAGTGAGCCTAGTGGTTAAAGTGTTTTATCGTCACACCGCAGACCCAGGTTCTATTCCCCATATGGGTACAACGTGTGAAGCCCATTCCTGGTAACCCCCGCCATGATATTGCTGTAATAGCGTTCAAAGCAGCGTAAAGCCATACTCACTCACTCATTCACCCACTCTTGTGTGATACGACTATACGATAGAATTTAACTTCAGTAACTTATGCTTGTCGTAAGAGGCGACTAACGGGATCGGGTGGTCAGGCTCGCCGACTTGGTTGACACGTCATCATATGTTAGTTGTGTAGGTCAATGCTCATGCTGTTGATCACT